TGTGATATTGCATATTAAAGCTTCTAGATTATTAATATCCATACTTCGAGTTTTTGTTGTAAATTCTCGGAATTCGCTGACATGTCAAATTCTTAGAAGCAGAATAAACTAAATTTGCATATCCACTAAAAACAAGATATAATTCCACGTATTTGTGTTTGTGTACACATTATGAGTGAAAATAACAGCTGATTATTGGCAGACTTCCTGGTTCAGCTTTTTTCAATATATTTTATTAGAAATGTTGTGTGTGTTTACCATGTATTGTACCAAACAGGAAGTTGATGTTTTCTATCAGTTATTCGATCCTATATTATTCCAAGCCATACATAGCTCTAAAGTAGATTTTTTAATCATAATTATTAGAATATGAAAGAATAGTTTTCATTTACAGTGCAAGTCCATCAAAAGTGAAAGTATCTGTTTCATTGGGGAATTCCCCTGACCTCAACACATAATTTTCAGAGAATGCGATTGGAAGCTTGGTTGTTGCAATTAAGATTCCAAACTGAGGGATTTATACATTTTTGGAATGAAACAGCAAAATACCTCTCGTGCAAAGCAAGGATCATAACTTCATTACTTAGATGAGCTTTTAAGACATATAGTAACACACATGTAAATTGATGAAGTAAATTACATAAAAGAAGAGAACTTCATCTTTTCTAAAGAATTTGAGTGAAAGTGGTTTCTGACCTATCCAATGTACAATAGTCCTTATTCTACGATTATCATAGAGTCATTATAATTGCTTTTGTTTCCTGTTATAGATGGTGTAAACTTCCTGGATTCTCTAACTATAATATACAATAAAGACTCTTGGAAATGACATTTGCAATGTGAAAAAGTCTTTATACATGATGTAAACTTGTGATGATGTAGCATTCTGAAAGTCCAAAAACAAGTGATCAGTTATCAAGTTATAGACAAAAGATCAATTAGGATCAAACATGTATCCTGAAGCTTCCAACACAAATACTGAGCCACAAAAATCCTCAAATATCTGTGAGTTTTGTGGATTGGTAGCCACATTCATATGTGCAGACTGTCACAATCATATCTGCAAACAGTGTCGGCATATTTATGACAAAGATCACTGTCCAGCAACCAACAAAGACCACTTCTTTCAACTCATCACATCACAGAATAAGATTGAGCCCAAGGAGAAGCCTAATTTAGATAACTCGAATCTCTGCGAGTTTTGTGGATTGCTAGCATCATTCACTTGTGCAGACTGTCACAATCGTATCTGCAAACAGTGTCGGCATATCTATGACAAAGATCACTGTCCAGCAACCAACAAAGACCACTTCTTTCAACTCATCACATCACAGAATAAGATTGAGCCCAAGGAGAAGCCTAATTTAGATAACTCGAATCTCTGCGAGTTTTGTGGATTGCTAGCATCATTCACTTGTGCAGACTGTCACAATCGTATCTGCAAACAGTGTCGGCATATCTATGACAAAGATCACTGTCCAGCAACCAACAAAGACCACTTCTTTCAACTCATCACATCACAGA